AAGGGACGTGTAAATAAATAAATGCGTGCACGAATAAAAAAAAAAAGATGTTAGTAAATATAACAGTTGGGCAGCTGAGTACATTTCTATATGAAATAGATGTACGCGCGGTCACACTGGCGAGTCGCCGTAATGGTGAAGACGACTAAAATCAATATACGTACCACTGTTGTGAATGTGTGTGTACAAGCGGTAATACATTTCTATGCGCAGTTAAGTTTATACGAAAGAAAGTGCTTGATACGAATACACGCGCGCGCTCGCACGTACACGTACAAGCGCGCGACCACACGCACGCACGCACGCACACACGCACACACAACAATTACAAACAATCAAACAAACAAACGAGCGGACAAGCAAACAAACAAAACAATATATAAATCATTGTTTTGCTTTTAATATTGTTTTTTTACGTGAAAAATGCACAAAAATTATATTTGTTGATATTTGCTCGCTTTCGATTGATTTCCTCGTCATCTTGATTCAAATGGGATGAAATCGTATTTTGATCATCGATCACTTCAAAATCATTGTACGTAATTTGCATCTATATGCTTTATAATTTTAATGTACAAAAAACAAAATAATGCACTCGTTGAATTTGATTAATTTTACATTATTTCATTTCACTCGACCATTATTGCCATTCAGTTAAATTTCACAGATTATTAAGAAATAAAGAATATGATGAGATGTTAATTTTTTAGATTTATTGATAAAATATTTTTCACATAAATATAGGAAAATTATGAAAACTGGAGAATTTTTAACATAAGTTATGCTCCGTATAAATTCTCAAGATAAATCATAATTAAATTAAAAACCGTTTTATTATACTTAGATGTGAAGTTTGTGTATTAAATTTAATGATTTTATATTATATTTTATTGTGCGCCGAACAAAATGAATACACAATGAAACTTGAGATTCTTTTGCAGTTACTTTTAGGATCATTAATAATTATTTATTGGTAATTTTTCACTGTAATAAGTCGGGAGGTAAAAATACAAATAAGCCACATGTACTCGTATCAAAGGAGTCTGTAATCAAATGGACCATCCTTCAGTTCCTACAAAAACAAGACTTTTATACGATTAAAAAGGAGAGCTAACTGCGTAAAAAAAAAAAAAGTTGTCTGAAAACTTCATATGATATAAACGTTGTTTGTTGTCATAAAATAACATTTTATTCAATGAATTTGAATATTTTCTCTAAAATTAATTTAAACGCATAATTAATAAAAATATTTAAAAAAATGTTTGCATAAAAAATCTTATAATTAATATTGAACTCAGTAATAATATTTAGGATTCTATTTCAGGATAAGAATATTCAGGATTCTACTTTTTTTTTTCTTTTGGTTCTCTACAAAATTAGTGTTTAATCAGTTTTTCCCTTTCCTTATGTTTGACAATTTTTTTTGTTTGTTTTATTATATTTTATAAATATACCTTCACTATTTCTTCTGTCGCATAATTAAGACGAAAGTACAAGTATTGGTATCTGTGTAATATGCAGAAATATGCAAATATTCGATTAATAAGATAGTATTCGTATATTTATTAATTATTTCAACGATCCGATTCGTTTATAACAAAGTAATAAATTAACTCGATAAGAGTATTAACCCAATAAGCTCATTATATTATATTTGACTTTAACCAATACCATAATCTTGCAATATTTGTTATAATAAAAAAATTGCCAGATAATTTTAGCCGACTGTTCTTAAAAGTTCTCATAAATATATAAAATAGAATTTACCAACGTTCGATCGTATTTTCCTTTTTATTTTAAGAAAAAGTTATCCCTTTATTTGCCATGCTATTTACTTGTAGATATAATAATCATAAACTGTATATACACAAAATTATTTATGATAAATTTGATAAGTATAATATGTATAATATTTATAAACTATAAATTACATAAAGTAAATTTCTATTTCGTTTAAATTTTAATACAATGCATAATGCGATAAGGCTTTTATTAATTAATATTCATAAAATTAGAAGAACGAAACTAATATCTTAAATACATATCACATTTCCAATCTATGCGAGTAAATTAAAAAAAAAAAAAAAAATTAATTTTAATATGTAAATTACTTTGTAATATATTTAAGAGTAGTGCTTAAAGTGTTGAAAACAGATAAAGAAATGAAGTGTAGAATAAAATTTATTAATAAATAAGTTTCAAAGCCCAAATGTTTTATGATTCACAGATTTGGTTAATAAACAATAAGTCAGTAAGTGACAGTACCGATATAAACGTACTATCTTTTAGTTATTATTATAGTTTATATTAGTTATTAAAATTTATTTCATAAAACAAATATAACGCATTTATTAATTGATTTTTAGAAATAATTTTTATTTGCCGTTAAATATTCTGCGACTCATTTTAATATTAATGGTATTTTGCGTTTTTTATGTACGATGCTCTGATCAATAAAGTGATGGGGTTTGGGTTAATATTGACGCGGATAAAATCTCAAGTACCATAAGTATTTGAATATATTATAAATAGATGTCCTTTCATTCTAAAATATTATTTAAATCCGTAATTATACATTATTAAAGCAATAGAGTTAATATTTACTTTAGCAATGTTAATATTATTAAAAAGTAAGCCAAATTATTAGGTGCGATATAATTAAAATTAATATAAAAATTCAATGTTAAAAAAAATTCTTTTTACTTCGGTTAAAGCTTATTTAAAAAAATCTAATTTCTTTTTTCCCCGAGCATAGTGCTTATAGCTTTGTATCTCAATTTTCTAAAACTATCTCTTGCGTTTTCATTAAGTATAAATTCATCAAAGTATAAATTCCTTGCAAAATTTTATACCAGATTTTGATTGTTATTTTTCTTATTTCATTTAAGCTGTTTTCTAAGGATTGACAAAAAAAAATCGTTTACCGCTTCCTTCTATTCGTATAAAAATTGAATAATATAATGACAAAATAATGTTGACTATATATTAATAATATAAAGACAAAGAATTAAGCTAATGTTGTGTAAAGGTAATTTGAATAAATTATTTCATAAATAACGATCTCAGTAATATTAGAATTTTTGTTAGCTGTTTATTAAAGAATATTATTATAATTAATTTGAAAATATTTCATCAAATAATATATAATGATAAATTAATGAAATTTTAATTATATGGATAATAAGTTGAGAGATAAGCTTTCATAGGATCTTATAAAAAGGTAACGAAATTGTTCTCAAGCAAAATAATGAGAATGAAAATTTAAAAAGCAACGTAAAAATTATAATAAATAATAAATTCGATCGAGTGAAATATCCGTCTGTGTGATAAAATTGGGCGCGAGGAGGAGGAAGGGCGGGGGGGGGGTCGAGAAGGGAGAATAGGAGAAAAATCGTACAGAAATATGAATTTCTAAATGACCTGGAAATTCGATGCATTGGTAAAAAAAAAATTGCTTTTTAAGCAATAAATATCAGGAAGGAATGAGAATAAATTTTTCAAAGAGATTTTAAAAACGACAAGCACTTTCATTTAGACAGTCGTAGTTAATAAAGTCTTTTTGCCAATTATTTAAATGCTTTATTTTGAAAAGTAAAGTATTTTTATAAAGGTTGTTCAAGCGTTTTGCTGTAATTTTAATTTTTTTGTTTTTTTAATATAAAATTTAATATTTAATTGAATGGTACAATTTTGAATAAATCATATCGTTTTTTAATTTAACTAAACTCTATAAAGATTCTTTAAAAATTTGTAGCATAAAATGTAAATTTAGTTTTAAATAAAATATCTTTTTACTGCAAACTCGTAATACAAAAATGGAGTATATGAACATCGCACATAATAAATGAATCTCTTTATTCTAATTAGAATTAACTCTCTCGGTGTTGTTAGAGAAATAGTTTAAATAGTTTTAATATTTATAAATATAATTTATATTAGAATTTAAATTATACTTAGTATTGATATTTGAGTGAAAAACAAAAATGTTGCAAATTTTTCTTTCAACGTTATCAGTTAAACTTCTTTAATATCCTTCTATTCTAACATAATAAAAATTCAATTTATAATTTATAAGCTTTATATAGGTTATTTATTTATTTTTTTTTTTTTATTTTTTTTTTTTCATAAAAAAAATTTCGAAATTAAATAGATAAAAAGTTTGACTAATGCCTCTTTAACATTGCGCTCTCTCTCTCTCTCTCTCTCTCTCTCTCTCACGCAAAGTTAGTGTATAAGCAAGTAAACTAAAATATCGTCTTTCAAAGAGCTTCGAACAATGACAAATTTTTAATATACACACATTCCAAAAGGAGTATTTATTGAAATTGTCGAAAGGTGCAGTTCGCGCGGCCGTGTTAAAATGAAATTGGTAAAATGCCGTTAGACAGCAGCTGTGATTGATTGCAATTACCATTTGCGCGTCTATGATATGTGCACATTAGAATAAGAAAGTCGCTCCGTGGTTATAATTATTGCCCATATGGGTTGAGGAGATTTGGAATTTTACATTCCTCCAATCGACGTGGACGATTCCGACGATGAGGAGTAACTTGTCTGAGTCGCGAGTGAATGCCTCGTTGGCGAGAAACAAGTAGGCAAAGCAAAAACCGAAACACAAAACGAAGAGTTACGCGGCCGAGCTTATCTCGAGGGCGATAGAGTGCCGCGGAGCATCGCTGCACGACGTCTCCACGAAGCCTGTCTGCCGGCTCCTATTCCCAAAACGGGGCCCCTACAGCAGACTCCGGTCGTCCCCTCGATATACCCGCCGCATAATAGCGCCAAGCCTCCACCACCCCTCCTGGCACCGATTCGCCGACTGACTCCGGCCACTATTCCAGGGTCAGCCGCGGCACGGCTCCCCAGCATCCCAGCACCTCCCGACCCCACTCTCGATGAGGCTCCCGTTCAAAAGTGCGCGGGCGCGCGTGTGTGCGTGCGTCTGGCTCGGGGGTGGCGCGCGCACCCTCGGCCCCCGTCGGAGGGAGTTAGGGGGAATCGAGTTCTCGCACCGCCTCCCGGATCTGCCGTGGCCAGTATCGAGTGCGCCGCTCGCTCGGCCCGGACCATCCGCAGAGGCACGCGAGCCAAACTCCGAGAGACTCTATTACATGCAGCGGAGGCGCAGGCGGCTGCGGCGGCGGCGACGGCGGCGGTTCCGTAAGTACAACCTGCGGAGCAAAGTGCGCGGGAATATGTGTCGGGGGCAGTGGAGCGGCCGCGTCGACTGCTTTAATGCCGCGGCAGAGCTTTGGGCTCGTTGATGCTTTCGAGCAGTGAGCTTAAAGTCTTTATTCGCGGATTTTATTCGCGCTCCGAGCGAGTTGCCCGTCGACTCGTCTTTACTTTGTGTCGTCTGCCTCGGCCTCTTGAGCGCGTGGCCACCAGCGAATAACTCGGCGAGGGGGATTTGAAAGGGGGTCGGGTTGGGGGTGGGGGTACACACACGCGCGCACGCACACACGCACGCACGGACATATATATATATATATATAGGGGAGGGGGTCTAGGGGTGAGTAGTAGGGTGAGTAGTAGGGGGAAGAGGAGGAGGAGGAGGAGGAGGAGGAGGAGGAGTAGGGGGTAGAAGGGTAGGATAGAGGATAGAAGCATGGATCGAGCCTAGATTTGTCCATCCTCGCTCGTTTCGTTCCGTTCTTTAATTTTATTGCCAACAATCTCATCGATACATCCCGGAGTCTGCACGTTGGGTGCGCTGCTCTTATTGCCGAATCCCATCAATTTTTTAGGCGAGTTGTGACCGCTTGTCGGTATTACAAGAAGGCATGTATTGGTTGATAAAAATAGTCCGAGTTTGGATTCCCAGTTGAAACTCTAAATTTACTCTGCCTACTTATAGTTGCCGTAGAAATATATGAATGGAGAAACCAATTTTCTTGTCTTTCAATTTATTGCTAAGCATCCTGTACTTACTTCGTGTCCTATCGTTCCCTACCAATATACTGCTTTGGATTTGGAAAAATCCGTACGAATAATTTGCGATTCTAATATCTTCGTAAGATTTGGCTTAAGGGAGCAATTTATTCAATAATAATGAAATGGCAAGTATGCGAATGCTATAGATTCTTTATAAATCCTTAAGGAAGATTTGGTACTGCCGATTCGTTTGAATTTATGAGAAACGTCATTTTGAAGCGCAGCTAATAATTTTACTTTTCCTTCCTTTCAACTTCTATGCGATTTCACAAAATTGATTACACTTTGCGTCCTAAATATTTTAGCGTCTTAACAACTAATACGATAGATTAGTGATTAACGTGAAGCCTTAAACGTATCCTTTTACAAGTCAATCTCTCATACTATAGTGTTAGTACCAATTCTTAAACGGATCCCTTAATTTGACGCTACGTTATGCTGTAATTAATGAGATTATAACGAATATTTTCACGTTGACGCGCGTAAATTTTTACAATTCACGTATCGTTTTTGTTTTAAAATGTAGAGAAATTTTTCATTAATCCTATACTTTTCTTTCGTAATTTTTTAATATTAAATTTTATATTATTAACTCGAACTCAATATTGATTAGTGGTCACTGATACTTATGTAAAAATAAACCAATGCACATTAACTAATTAAAAATTTTACATAATTCTTGGCTATAAGTAATTACACATTTAACGTCCAAACTCGTGATTGGACGTTAATTAAATAAATCAGTATTAAGCTTTTCTCGCCAAATTTTGTGATTAATTCACTAATTGTACTATTTTCAAAGATTTTTACCTTTCCATCGTCATTCACACGTGGCTATATATATTTATTTTAATTTATATCTATAATGTGAGAATAATAAGTATAAATACGTAGAGTCTATGGAATAAATTTTAATTAGAGTTTTTATTCTCAATTATTGTATTGCAGCCTTCTATGCGAGTAGGCGAAAAACATAATTTATAATAAATTTTCATCAAATTTCAAAATACAAACTTAAATTTCATACAAAATTTTTAAATAAAAAAAGAAAAATGGAAAAAAAATATTTTCATTAAAAATTAAATATAAATATTAAACATTATATTTTCCTGGTTAAAAATGTTCCAATCTGTTGATATATAATATACTTGAAAACGAAAAAACTTCTTCACTTGTATATCGCTTACCAGAGATTAACAATGTTTTTAAGAGAAGTATTCTTTCACGTTTTCATACATTTCAATTAAAATGAAATCTTTTAATACATCATAATAGAGAAGCAGTTGCTTTCAAACATTTCACCGAGTTGAAAAAAAAAGTAGAAAAAAATAACAAAAGTATGAATAAAAAAAGATTATTTTAAAAATACTTAATACATTTTATTTTAAATCTACCGACATTTATAAATCATATTAAATTATAAGCACCATTTTATTATCACTTAAAGTATTGATATTCTTTTAATAAGAATAAAATTAAAAAAAAAAGAAAAGAAAAAAGGAAGAAAAAAAAAGAAAAAAAAGGAGAAGGCTATAATAGCTATAATAGAATTTTGACTTCATTAGAATCATGAATATTCATGAAAGTAAAAAAGAAATGATTTATATTTTAAACTGTATGAGATAAAAAATTCATATTATTAGGATACTTGAAATTTATTCTTATTTATAAACTAGTCGAGTAAGTAAATTGCAAATGAAAGTGTTGACAGTTAAGAAAAATAATACAATCAGTATTCATAAAGTCTACCGATGAAGGATGAATTAAATTATATAACAATTTACAATAAATTAAAAAAATAAAATAAAATAAATAATACCTTCCTTTCATTGGACATAAAAATAATATTTAAATTTCATTCTCTAGCTAATTTTGTTCGTTACATGAATAACATATTTCTAGAAAGTCTGATGGAAAGATGTATGACTGCAGGTGCTTCATAAGCAATTTATGTTATTACTCACTGATTAGTAAAGGAATGCATTAGTATATAAATAAAGGCCGTAGAATCGATGAATGCGTAATATGAAATGTATATACATGCATATTTATATATCCACTCACATACGCGCGTGCGCGCGCACATATGCATATGCGAATTCTATGAGTACCAGGTAAATTCTCATGAATGGTTTGAACCAACGTAAACGATAAGTTAAATTATTCTTTTATTCAATAATTTAATGATATTGTTGTGTTAATTTAAATTTTGGTATAATTTTTTAACGCGTACGACTAAAATAATTCAGTTAAAATTATTATTATGTTTAAAGTACCAAGTAGCTTGAAAATATTTAAATATTTAAAATATGATTTTCATGTCAATTAAATTAATTATAAAACATTCGCAACAACAACAATAGCAATAACATTACAAAATACTACTTCGACTACTACTACTACTACTACTACTACTACTACTACTACTACTACTACTACTACTACTACTACTACTACTACTACTACTACTACTATTATTATTATTATTACAGTAATAATAAGAATAAAAATCCAATAATTGATGTTTTTCAAAAAAAAAAAAAAAAAAAAAAAAAAAAAAAAAATTCTATTTCAAATATAATTAATTATTTAGTAAAGTTCATTTTACTTCAAGAGCTTAAATTGAATGAAAATTTTACTTTAGCTATTACGCCAACTTAATATTCATACATGCACTTTAATATTGATTATATAATAGATGTATTGTATACCAGAATTCAAACTCGATCACCTCAAACAAAACAAGCGTTTATTCACTTAATATATAAGCGTCTTTAAAAGCTTATTTCGTTAATAAAGCTTTTTAATATGATTAAAAATTAAAATTAAATTAGTAGCAAATATCATTTACTATTTGCATGACCGATCATTAAATATAGTGCCTGAAGAATTGTCGTTTTGCAGAAATGATGTGAGGAATGATCACGTGGTTGATGGTTGGACTGCTTTTGTTTACGGAGTCAGGATGCGATCGTGGAAAAAATGCTGTATCAAAAACAAATGGGAAGAAGGAAAATGAAAGTGGAATAGCAGTAAACGATAAAAGCAATGCCAAAGATACAGCGATTGCCGAAGAAAATATATATCGTATGTTCCCACTTAGATCAAGCATTTATTATTGGATTGAATTATCTGCAGTTCAATAGATAATAATATCTAATTATTTTATTATAATAATGAATTTTTCAATTTCCACAGGCTTAACGTGTTACACGTGTGTTAACGTGAGTGATAATAAGGCAAGTAATTCGGCAATTTATTCCTATTATAATTCATTTCTATCATAGATTGTAAAATTCTAAAAATATTATTTTTAAATTAACGTTCACATTGGTGGCTCCAATATTTCGATAAAATATTCTTTCAAATAGAAATTTTTGAATATATACTTCGATTACAATAATATGATAAAATGACGTTACGTGCAATATTTTATTTTAATAGAAGTAATGTGAAAAGCGCTTAAAAGTATATGAGACACCGATAAAAAAAAAAAAAAAAAAAAAAAAAAAAATAAATAAATAAATAAAAAATGCATTATGGTTCTCAAAGTTAACAAGTTTTTAATATTGACTTTATTTAAATCTTTATTTTGTAATTGTCTTAAGAAACATCGATTAAAAAATAGTTTGTTTAAAATCCCGGTATATTCGTTAAGTTTTAATTCTTGGATAGAAAAAGTTTGCCACTTTGACATTGTTTGTTGAAGCAAAATTTAATGAAAAGTTTATGTATAAATTTCATTTCTAATATGGATGTTAAATTGATAAATGATTTCAAATTTAAATATCCAAAAATACCTTTAATCGAATACATTTTAATTATAAAACGTAATTTCAACCTTATCTAGGTTTTACATTTTTATATCGTAATATCTCATTAAAACGTAACCGCGGAGATTAAATATTAAGTATAATAACAACAAATATAACTAATTATTCCTATTATTCCTCCTCCTCCTCCTCTTCTTCTTCTTCTTCTTCTTCTTCTTCTTCTTCTTCTTCTTCTTCTTATTATTATTATTATTATTATTATTATTATTATTATGAATAATAACAAAAAATTTGTATTAATAAAGAAATTTAATTAACATATTGTAATGCGAATTTATGTAATTTTATAAAATTTAACAGATGTGCAACGAATGGGCAATAGATACTCCGTGTCCTGTCGAAGGCAGAGATTTCTGTCGATCGCTTCACATTTTGGATAGTCGCGGTCAAAGCGTCTTGGCAAGCATACACATTTTATAATTTTTATATAGATAAACACGCATACATAAAAGGATACATACATTCATTATAACAATGTTCTTTTCACAAAACTTTTACATATTATATATTTAATCGCAATATAATAGAATTTTTACCCTACCATTAAATGCAATTGATTTTCTAAATTATACATTTTATATAAGAATATTCATAATAACGTACGTGCTGATGATAAAAGAAAAAAAATAAAATAAAAAAAACATAGTTATTATATTTTACTATTGAATTTCAATGTTGAATCTAGTGTTTATTTTACTTGATTTCGTTGTAGAAAATAGTATTTCATTAACAGATTTAAAAAGATTTCCATGTACATGTAAATATATTATTGTAACGATTATTATTTTATAGGTAAGCAAGAGTTGCGTTAGTAAAATCGAATGCAGTCCGGCATCAGTCGGTTGCGTGCCCATCGATACACAAAAGGTTCGTAATGTCAATAATTAGATTAAAATCGCTCGTAAATTAAATAACTTTTTGTTATTCAATAGTTAAATCTCAATACACGATTAAATAATTAAATTTTTGGCAAATCTTTTAGTTATATTATCATATTATATTTCATTATAAAATTTACCGCTTAAAGTAGTATCTATTGATTAAGAATTGTGTCAACATTATTATAGCATCAAGTGTATTAAATTTAATAAAAATAAACTAAATCTAAAAAATAAATCAATATTTAGCCGAGCTAGAATTACTAATTCACAATAACATTAATTATCTGTTTTATTTGATATTTATTCCAACGTATTTCAAGTAGTAAAATGTTAATAAAAAATATGGTGTATTCGATGTAGAAAACGGTGATAGTTTAGCTTCAATTATAAATGACATTGTCTTAAAATATTAAAGATTATATTGCTTAATTACAATTTTTAAATAACAAGAATTAAATTTGTGTGTGTGTGTGTGTGTGTGTGCGCGCGCGTGTGTGCGTGTGGGTGTATGTGCGCGCGCGCGCCTCGTTTACACATATATGGAGGATTGCATTAATTAAATGAAAGTGATATTTTGTATCCTATGATTATCTTTCTAAAAAAATAAAGAAAATTCTATCCAATGATTTAATAAGTAATTTTGGAACAGATATGCATAAGCTGCTGCGACACGAGTTATTGCAATATCGAGTCACCGACCAACATGACTAACGCGACTTTCTCGCGCAAGCGTCCGAAACCGAAAAACCTCAAGAAGAAGGCGAAGAATGACGAGGAGGATAAGGATGAAACGAGCAAGGGCTCGTCAGTTCCGGGACTGGCTCCCCTTGTCACCGCCTTCTCCGCAATTAGCGTCTTTCTTAATCAAGCATATCATTAATAAGCCCAAGAATTATACGGCGCATATATATATATATATATATATGTGCGTGTGTGCGTGTGTGCATGTGTGCGCGCGTGTGTGCGTGTATGCCTGCGATGCACACGTACACTCCATGTGCGACTGCAAATACTATTGGATGAATGAAATAAGATCTAGGAGAGTTTAATTTTCACCGACCAATTTTTCTAAATTGCATTACACAAAAACTTCTTTAATTTCGAACATTTTAATATATTATCATAGTAATATATATTATCATTATATTAATTTTTTTATATTCCATTATATATTTATGAAGATACATTAAATATTAATATAATAATTATTCAATTGATTTTATGTAATAAAATATAAAAGATTACCGAAATTAATCTTTTATTATTAATTTTTAAGAGATTTTATTTTTTAAGATATGTAAAAATTAATGATAATATCATTTTAGAGAAGTATTGTACTTACACGGTTGTAGCCTTTCACTACATCATAATGTATATAATATGGCGATTCTCGACATTGTTAATATATCGTCTTTTAGTATATTCCTACTGCAAGATAATATAAAAACTCAAATATGTACAAATTATATAGCCCATCATATTTTTATTGCATTAATTTTATATTTTATGTTTTACTTCCATACTTTCCATATCATAATATCTAATTACATTTTTAAATTTATGTTTCTAAAGCAAGAAATTTTTTTCTACTCTAAAAAGAAAAATATTATATATATATGTAAAAGTATTTATATGACATGAGTAAACTAGAAGAGTAAAGCTTTCTGTAAATACGTAAATATTACATTAAATCATAAGAAACGAAATGTTTTTAGTCGCGCGTTATAGTTTTATTTAACGCAGTTCTTTCCTATGCGTTTGTATATTTTATACATAGAAAAGTAGTATATCGACTTAATAATTATTCGTTTATTTTAAAATCTTCATCTTTCACTGACATATTAATATTAATATATAATAATTCAATTGATGTAATGTAACAAAATATAAAGTGATCAATGCTCGAATTGGCGGATCAGCAATTTGTAAGTAAAAGTTCGGAAACCTCGTGCTCTTTCAATTTTCTCTAGATCCTTTTTCATTCACGTAGAATAACACTTGCACGCACACGTGCAACTTTAAAAGAAATATATTACGCGCGTTCACGGATATTTAACCGCACAGCCCCGCTCGCCCTTGTGCAAAAAACTTTTAATAAAATAGAGAGCTACTTATGTATATATACCTGCAAAAATATAAAAAGGTAAGATATATAAATGATTTTTTTCGTGTCTTTGATGCTACCAGCGGTATTTCTATTTCATTCCTCGAAAAATTCTTTTTCTTCTTCTTTTTTTTTTTTTTTTTTAAACTTGTATCTGATAATGAGTAGTGCGAGATACAAGTTGACAAGGAAAAGAAATAGGTTACCGTCGTCCGTAGTTTCTTCTGCTACGTTCATTTCTGCCCTTTTCTTTGCAATTTCCAAGCGCTTGAATAAGTCTGAGGATTTCTGAGAGATTCATCTAATGAGATGGTCAGTCTTCCTTGACTTTTAGCAAGTTTTTCAGAGTTCCAAAGTCTCGGGGGTACGGTGGGAGCTCTTTTTATCAAAGAAAATGGGCTTATAAAACGACCAATTCATAAGCTATTAGATTCTAAGAATGAGAATCATTATTTTTTAATTGAAAAATTTTGTGTTCTCTTGAATGACGATTAGTTTCCCAATTTTATAAAAATTACAATTTCAAGCTGCACAATAAGAACAAAGGGAAATAATATTTTTATTTTTATTTTTTTTACTAAAAATTCCATTCAGTAAAATTTATCATAAATTTATTGTCAAATTTTTATTATTAATAAGTTTTATACTAATTACGATTCCTTTGAAAACGGCCTTTAAATTAAAAAATAATTTTACATTCAACACATAAAAGGATACAAAATATATTATATTAATAACAATAAAAATTATATATTTAGAAATTTTTAATAAAAATACGTCGTTAACAAAGATAAGAATGTATTTAAATAATATATAACAAGATTATGGTAAGAAATTATTTTTTGTTCATAATATTACTTTGAAATTATATTGTTACTATTAAATTTTTTAAATTTTGATATTATATTGTTTATAAAACTTTTAACGTAATTAAAATAGGTATATATATATATATATATATATATATATATATATATATAGTTGAAAATGAAATAACTATTGACATTTTGTTATGTTAGAAATATTTTTAAAATATATATATATATAAGGTAAGCTAAAGATTAATAAATTTAGTACAATCAAGTAACGGTGCACATTATACGAACAAGAATAAACGAACATCGTGCATCGTAAATAAATGACATATTTAAATATTAAAGTATTAGATTAAAAAAAATAAAACAAAAAAAAAACAACCTGATATTGTGAATGTTTCTAATTATGCAAGTATCTGTCAAGTAAAAACATTTTTCTTTATTAATTTATACGAGGCATATCTTCTAAAATAGAAATAGAAAAGCTCGGAATAGCTCGTATGAATTTTGTATGGTGCCATCAGGAGCAGATGGGATTATTATAATATTATTCAAAGGAGGCACTATAAAAAGTAATAATCTGCACAATGAAGGAATTGTTCAACTCTTTACACGTATTTTACAGTTACTAACGAGACAAAAATGATAATATAATATATAGAGCGCTATTATATAAAATTACACATATACGCGCACGCACGCACGCATATATGTACGCAAATACCACACACATCAATATATATATATATATATATATATATATATATATATGAGATAGAGAGAGAGAGAGAGAGAGAGAGAGAGTGTGAGTGAGAGATGAAAGTGATTTTAAGGAAAAATGAACTAATGGAATTGATTATTGTACACATCTTACATACATATATATCTGAAGAAATATGAAGAAAGAATTAAGCATGCAAAGACATATTATATTTATATAAAAATCAATCTAAATAATATACGTACAAAAGATAAATATATCAGTAGATATTTATTAGCTTCAGATGCTTGTATTTACGTTTTCGTAAATACATGAATATGTAAATAAATTACTTGAATTAAATTCATTCGTAAAATTTATATAATTTATTATTATTCGAATATATCTAATAAAAATTGTACGTATTTCTCATTGTGTAAGATACTTATTGTATTTTATTTACGACAAAGTCGAGAATATTTGTGATTTAATAATTTTATTACATATTTTAAATATTGAATTAATTTTCAAATCGTTACTTTATTATATGATTTCTATTGTTTAAAGCAATGTTGTGTGAAAGAAAGTACTTTTCTATTTAATTAAATACAAATTTTCAAATTACACTCACAGCTCTGCGCACATAAGCTCGCATCTAATCAACTTGTAGACATTTACAAACTACTACATACCAATGAAATGTAATTTCATTATACTTTATTATTAAGAAAACCATTATATAAGACAAAACTCATTTCTTCCCTCTCTAATCTTGGCTACTGTGCCTTCCTTGTTGTACTTAATGTTGCTTATTGTAACAATGCCTACTTTTATGTATAGACTTAAATAAGAATTTGATATAACTAAAATTGTCTTTATAAAGTATATTAAAATATCAAAAAACGAAAAGTACAGGTTTTGTTAGATTTTTAACATAATATATTTACGCACATATATATATATATATATATATATATATATATATTTCTCTGTTTATTATAATTACAATATCTTATAAATATATAAATAATTTTTATTCATAATCTTCAAAACTTTCAATGAAATTCATTTTTTTTTTGGTTTCCTTCCAAAAATTTTTTTAACGTATAAGCAAATTCTGGCATATTCAAGTATTTATCAAAATGATAGATTACTAGTTATTGAATAAATAAATAGACATGTTAAATTGCAATATATATGCTAACAGATAAAATAATAAATAGTTTCACTTCGTGTAGTTATAACTATAATGTTATTAGGATCTTTCTAAATAATCCGATAATTGATTGCGATTAAAAATATCTATTGATTCTAATTCAATATATATTATCTGCATTTCAAGATTTTTTCTTTAAAAATTTGTTACTTTGAAGCATCTACGTGTATTGCTAGATACTAAATTTTTTATACTCGAGGATAAATTCAATAAGACTCTTATAACTTTTTGATTAATTAAAAAGTTCATTGAAAGTTATTTTTGTAAAAAATTACATTTTTTTTTTTTTATTTTCATTGCATTTCTATTATATCACACAAACATTTTATGAAGAAACTTGTAACAAAAAAAATCAGAAACAATAAGTAAGTCATCTGGATTAATAACAATATAATTAATAAATTTTTTGTTTTCCTGTTAATATGTATACACATGTATAGACATCAAGTACATAAATAATCTCATATATGCGCACACAAGCGCGTATAAACCATCAAGAAATCAAGTATACATAAAGTATTTCTTAATTAGAATTCAAGATTTTTCCTCCACTTATGTATATTAAACCTTTATTGTATGTAATTCGTGGATGTGTTATGTATTACTTTCGTTTTACATGGATTGTATGCATAATTTTATATTCTGTGATTATGTTGATAGTACATTGGTGAATAAAAACACGTTGATTAATTATTAAGTATTGTGATAATTATGATAAATTTATTTATTTAAAATTTTTGCTTAACAACGTTATAATATGTTATAAGTAGAATTAACAGAGTTATGAAACTCATAGGGTACTTCTTGCATATTTTCAATCATGTATTGCAAATATAACAGAAAGTCTTGATTAAGAGTTTTCATTCGTAAGATGATGTTAATAATAATAATAAAATGCGCTATGATAGACAATGATATTGCATTGCGTATGATATTATAAATTATTTATAAAGTGTACCTTGTACGTGAAATTATACAAAAAATCATTTTAACGTAATATAGTAATCTGAACTATTGTAAATATAACAAATGGAAAATATTAATACAGTGAAATTTTACAAACATATTATAAAATATTTTTA